ACTGCCAACCTGATTCTTACTCTTTTGTGGATAAGCTGGATTTTGCTATTTTTAGTGTCTCTGGAAGGTATTATAATGGCCCTTTCACTGCCATTCTCAAACACCAGAAAACTTGCATTCCTTAGCTATGCAAAGTTTTCTTCCCTTTCCTCCAAGATTACTGTCTTTTCTGGAACTCCCATTAAAAAATTTGGGAACTTGTGTATTGATTTTCCATGTCTCAATTTTTCTCCCACATTATCTTTCGGTCTTTATGTGTCAGTTGGCTTGTCTTCTAGTTTACAAATTTGTTTCAACTGTGACAATTCTGCTATTTATTCTTGTATTTTCTTACTCTTAAGTTATTTTCTTGTATTTTCACAATTTCCAAGTTCTGAAATAAGTGTTGTCTTACAACAAATCTTGTTTTATGAATTTAATGTTTTCTCCAATCTTTTTAGTGATATTTTTAAAGTTATTTTCTACTTCATCCAGGTTAATATGAAAGATGTAAAGTTGAAACACATTTTTTTAGTGAAGTTATCACAAGAATGGAAAAGCAGGTATCCAATGTACTCAATACTAACATGAAACCAGAAGACAACTTAATACATGCCCATAAAAGAGTAAAACTAATACATGCCCACATAAGAGTAAAACTCAATTCAACTCAAGTTGGGGGGAAGGGGCACGAGGAGAGGAGGGAGGGAAATTGGTGTGCATGCATTTACAATGGGCACAATGTAAGGGTATATGGCACACCTCTTGGTGCAGGACACAATAACAACAGGGTCTCTACCTAACATACAGACACTGTAACCTAGTTGTCTGTAGTCTCACATTAAGTTGAAATTTTTTAAAAAGTTATTTTCTATCTATTCATATTCTCGTGTTAACTCTTCTGCTTATTCAAATTTATTACTATCTTTCATAGTGTGGGGTTTTCCTTAAATGTTTGTTTAGTCTTGGTTAACTGCTGTTCCTTTTTGTGTTACAAATCACTGTTCAAAAATACATGGCTGTTACCTATGATTACAGGGGTCTACCCTCAGTCTTAATAGAGCAAGGGCACAACATGTCTCAGGGAGAATGTGCCAACAGCAACTCATCTCTGAAGGCTAGGGGCTCCCTATCTATCCTCACCTACCTCTTTACCTCCAGGGCCCACTAGCACTGTCTGTGATGCCTGCTACCCTGTATACCCCAGAGAAGCACATATCCTCCTTGCTCCCTCTACTCCTTGTCTTCTATGAGCTCCAAGAATTCACGGCAGTTCCCACCTGTTCTAAACATGTTCATTCTAGACTGTTTTTCCTCCTATAATCTTACACCAATTACTGCCATCTTACAGAAATTTCTCAAAACTTCTGTTAGCTGTCTGCTAACAGCTTCTCTCATTTTCCAATACTATTATACCTTTTTTCATTTTAGTAATTCATTTTTACCAAGGATTTGGGGTCAGAAAAGGCAGATGCAGGTGCTCACTTTGCCATTTTGATCCTATTTGTATGCATATTCCTAAGTAACACTGGCCTACAGATTAGAGAAGTGTGTGTGGGTATTTCTGTGGATAAACTATGCCAAGTGTTGGTACTGAGATAGATGATGCTGGCCTCATAAAATACATTAAAGTAGATCATATAGCACTATCATTAAAGTTCTTTTGAAGTTTTGAAAAGCTTTTTTTTTTTTT